GAGTTAGAGTTGCCCCCCCAAGGAATGCGTCTGTGTGTCTCCGTAGCCATTGTGGCTCGAGTTTTTTCGAGCAGCGCGCAGTGCTTCGCCTAAGTCGGGCCTGTCCCTCTACAGGGGGGATATTCAGACATCAAAAATTAGTCTGGGGACGATTTTCTGTTATTCCCGATATCTTTCGAGTTTTGTTTAACTGTCGCCCAAAATCCGCCTGCAGGGGGACAGGTCCGACCTAATGCTTCGCCTTCGCTGGAGGTCTGATACCTGGGATGCCCCTCCAGAGGCACACGTCGCGTCGCTCTTGGTGCCGATGGGCGGCACTTGTTGCGCTAACAGTTGCCTGGTGCCGATGCTGTGATGTGTCCACTGCGAGGGTCGATCTGCTCCAGATCCTCCGCAGTCGCTCTGGGGGCACGGCAGAGCCCGACGGTCAAACGGTAAACCGGCTGCTCGGCGAGGCGGTGAAGTTGCGCGAGGAGGTCGCCAAAAGAATCGACAGTCACTCGCTCGACGTCTGGAAGCTCAACCAGAAGCTGGAGTTCCTCAACGTGTTCTTCCCCTGCTCCGCGCTCGCGCAGATATTTCTCTTCTGCATCCTGGTGGCGGAGATCCACAAGATCAGCCAGCTTCAGGCTCAGAACGAGCGCCTGGCACGCGCCGTCCGGTCGAGGACATCCTCGGCGCCGCCTCCGCTGGCCGACCGGCCGCGGTAGGCTGCGGGCAGACGGCCGCTCCCCAGCGCTGCCACGAGCCTCACCCTCCCACATCCCCACCCCTGACGAACGAGCAACACACACCCATACCCATAGGGGGGTCGTTGGGAGGAGGACTGGCTATGGGTATGGGTGCGGGTTGTCGGACCCTGGGGAACGCTCCCGTTCGAGCGGGGACCCCCATCCGACAACACGCGCCCATAGCCCTCTCCGACCCCTCCATGGGTATGGGTGTGTGTTGTTGGTTCGTCAACCCCCCCTCCAGAGATCCGATGCCGTGACTTTTTCCAGACGGGGCCGCCAGAGGCCTCGGCCCCTTCTCCAGGGCCGGCCTCTCCTCCTGCGTCGTGCCTCTTGTCTCGCGGGCCTGGGGCCCGGCGAGGGCCCCTCGAGGCCGAGAACTCGGCGACGGACCTCCGTCTCGATTTGTTGTTCAAGGCGTTGGCTCTCTGGGCCTCCTCCCTCGAGAGGGGGAGCCCGCCCGTTCCTGCGTCGTTTTTGTCGCACGGCCCTGGGGCCGAGCGAGGGCCCCCCGAGGCCGAAACTTGCGACGGACCTCCGTCTCGACTTCTTCGACACGTTGGATCTCTGGGCCTCCTTTGCCGGGCCTGCTTTCCACCACCACCACCACAATAAGTTGGATGGGGGGGAGGAGGAGGAGGAGGAGGAGGAGGAGGAGGAGGAGGAGGAGGAGGAGGAGGAGGAGGAGGAGGAGGAGGAGGAGGAGAGGAGGAGGGAGGAGGAGGAGGGGAGGAGGGGGAGGCGGAGGCGGAGGCGGAGGAGGAGGAGGCGGAGGAGGAGGAGGAGGAGGCGGAGGAGGAGGAGGCGGAGGAGGAGGGCGAGGAGGAGGAGGAGGAGGAGGAGGAGGACCCCCTCCCCCTCCAACTTGTGGTGGTGGTGGTGGTGGTGGAAAGCGGGCCCATCACCCTTCCTCGAGAAGGGACGCCCGCCCGCCTGAGCGCACGGCCGTCCACGGCGCGCTGCGAGCAGCGCTCCCCGCGCGAGGCGCTGGCTGGCCTCCGGTGGCGCGGCCGCGGCGCTTGGCGAGGCCAGGGCCGCCCGAGCGGCGGCTTTGAGCCGCCGCGGTGCGGCGGCTCGCGGCGGCCGCGGCGCGCGCGAACCGGGCAGAAGGACACGCACATGTGTCCGAGAACCCCAGACATCGGGCGTCTCGGAGAAATCGCGGCGCAGGTTTTTCGCAGTTTTGGCCCTCTCGGGGCCTTTGCCGGGCCTCGGGACCGTCAAAACTATTCGGGATGAAAAACCGGTCCCGGGGAAGTGGTCGGGAGGTCGGGGGCCCCCGTCTCGAAAAAATCGAGACGTCCTATGTTTGGGGCCAGGGCATGACGTCGTGCGGCCCTGCCTGCGTCAACTCTGCACCTGCGGCTCGTGCGTCGCTCGTGCCGCGCTCTCTTCTTCTTTAGCGCCGGTGGAGATGTCATGGCTCATCGCGCCGGAGCTCTGATGAGTGGCGCACGCTCATCAAGCGATGCGGTCCCAGTCTCAGGAGTTTCAGGTATGGAACGGTGCGTGCTGATTTCCTTGCGAGCTAAGCTGCGCGGGCAGTGTTATGAGTACCTGCTCATGCCGACATCGTCTCCAATCTGCCTTTGCTGCCGCTCAGGCGTGCGAATGCGCGCTGGACTTCACCCGCGATCGCCACGGCGGAGACGGATCTCTCTCTGACCCTAGGGGCCCCGAGAACACACACATCCGATGCGTCTTGGAGTCCCTTCAGCGCTCGCCGTGCGCCCAGGGGGCATCTGGGGCCAAACATGCATTCGCTTCTTGCTAAGAGTTCGACCCCGAGAATACCCACGTCCACTGCCTCCTGGGGTCCCTCCGGCGCTCCTCGTGCACCCGAGCGCACCTGGGGCCAGGCATGCCCTCGTTTCTGACGAAGAGGTCGAGATGGTAGCAGCTCGAGGGGGGGGAGGAGGAGGAGGAGGAGGAGGAGGAGGAGGAGGAGGAGGAGGAGGAGGAGGAGGAGGAGGAGGAGGAGGAGAGGAAGGAGGAGGAGGGGAGGAGGAGGAGGAGGAGGGAGGAGGAGGAGGAGGAAGGGGAGGGAGGAGGAGGAGGAGCAGGAGGGGAGGAGCAGGAGGGGAAGGAGCAGGGGAGGAGGAGGAGGAGGAGGAGGAGGAGGAGGAGGAGGAGGAGGAGGAGGAGGAGGAGGAGGAGGAGGAGGGGGAGGGGAGGAGGAGGAGGAGGAGGAGGAGGAGGAGGAGGAGAGGAGGAGGAGGGGGAGGAGCAGGAGGAGGAGGAGGAGGAGGAGGGAGGGAGGAGGGAGGGACGGAGGGAGGGGGGAGGGAGGGGGGAGGGAGGAGGAGGAGGAGGAGGGGGAGGAGGAGGAGGAGGAAAGGGAGGAGGAGGAGGAGGAGGAGGAGGAGGAGGAGGAGGAGGAGGAGGAGGAGGAGGAGGGGAAGGAGCAGGAGGATGAGCAGGTGGAGGAGGAGGAGGAGGCATCCCCGTCCCCACCGGGAAGCCCTAGGCCCCGCTGGCCGACCTGCCCCCCCCCGCAATTGGGGCCAGACGCCCGCTCGGCCAGGTTTCGCGACGTGCATCCCCACCGTTAAGTCGGGCCTGCCCCTCTACAGGAAGAATGGTCAAACATATATATATATATATATATATATATATATATAACGTCAGGGGACGATTTTTGTATATTTGGTACCATGTTTGCGTATGTTTCGAGAACTTCTTTATTGTCCTCCAAAATCAGCCTGTAGGGGGACATGCCCGACCTAAGCCCACCGCGAGTGGGGCATGCTGGTGGCGCTCCGGGCACCCTGCCCACCAGCTAATGGTGGGCAGGTCTGACGATGTTGACTTCCCCGACCTACGACTCCGAGATGCTTCACGATGGCCCCGGAGGCCTCGACATGCTGCTCTGCACCCCGGGGCCCCTTGTGACGACAGCCCCAGGGCCGCGTAAGGGGCCGAGTCGGATCGTCTACAGCTCTTCCCGTGGTATTTTCTGGCAGCGAGACGAAACGACGCCCGCATCCCTACCCCCCTCCTCCTCCAGGAGAATCGAGGGGGGGAAGGAAACGACGCTGCAACAGGGGCCACCGCGGCGGGCCTGGAAGCCCGAGGAGAGGGCGCCGATGCCGCGGCCAGGCAAGTCGAGGGGGGAGGGGGGGGGGGTCAGGAGCAAGAGGAGCAGGATCCGGAAGAAGGGGAGGACGAGGACAAGGTGGTCCCTTGGCTCATACTGAGAGTAGAGAAACGGCCAGGAGGACCAGAAAGCGGAGGACCGGGATAGGAGGGAGGCTAGGGAGGACGATGACGACGATGACGACGGTGACGCTCACGGCGACGACGATGGCGCCAAAGACAGACGACGGCGACGGCCGCGGCCGCGGCGACAGCGATGACGTCGACGCCGGCGTCGAGCGACGAGCGACGCGCGCCCCGCTCGGAGTCCAGCAAGGAGGGGCCAGGCGGCCGCCGGCACCGCGCCCGCGCCGGCGGACCCCTTCGAGTTCGGCCGCGCACGGGGGGGGCAGGGGCCACGAGCGGTAGGCGTAGGAGGGCCTGTCCCTCTACAGGAGAGATATTCAAACATAGTCAGAACATCGTCAGGATACCATTTTTTGTATTATGTTTATTATTATTGTTATTATTATCATTATTATTATTATTAATAATAATAATATTATTATTGTGTAAATATATATATGTGTGTATGTACGGTTTGATGTGTTGCAGATCTTGCATTGTTCGTCCAAAGTCCCCCTGTCGGGGGACAGGCCCGACCCAACGATAGGCGAGGATAGGCTCACGGAGGCTCGAGGAGGGTCGAGGTTCGAGGCCTTCGGGCGTCCTCGCCGGTGCTCGGCGGTCCTGCCGGCCTCGGGCTGCTCTCCCGCAGCTGCGCCTCGCCGAGGGCGCCCCGGGGCTCTCCGCATCGTCCGCCGGAGAGCCGAGTTTCGGGGGCGGAAAAGAGGGGGGTGCTGACTAGGGGGGGGTGGATATCATGGCGGGGGCCATGATTTTTCCTCAGATTTCATGGCGCCTCTTCTCATTTCATGACGTCCCTGGCCCCCTCGCTGGGCCGCGCACATGCCGCCGGTCATGATTTGCACCCCCCCCTCTTGGACACCCCCCTCTTGGCCGCTCCCGAGAGTTCTGGCCCGGGAGCAAAACTGGGGGAACGAACAATGACATAAGCATAAAAGCTCGGAGGATTCGCGCGGATTCCTCGGATCGGCGCTGGACCCCCCTGGCGGCGCCGGAGGGGGTCCAGCGCCGATCCGAGGAATCCGCGCGGACCTCCGAGTTTTGATGTTTACCAGGGGGAAACTCAGAGGCGACGACAGGGGCGAATAGCCCAGGGGAGAGGAGCAATACGTGTATCCAGCTGCGCCGAGGAGCTTCTTCGAGAAGGCTCCCGGGCGAATGCGTGCAGTGCCCGCCCCCGGGCTGTTCGCCCCCATCGCCGCCGCCGAGAAAAGGCTCGGGGGGGAATGCGTCGACCGCCCCACGCCGCCCAGGAGCATGGGGATGTGCCATCGGGGGCCCATCGCCGATCTGTCGCCGAGGTGTCGCCGCTTCCAGGCTTACGTCGGGCGTGTCCCCCTGCAGGAGGACGATTCAAAGATAGCAAAACGGATGGTCTGGGGATGATTTTTAGGGTATTTTCGTCTATGTTTGAGCATGTGTTGCTTTTGTTGTCTCTAACTGTTCGTCCAAAATCCGCCAGTAAGGGGGGACGTGCCCGACCTCAGAAAAGGCTCAACGGGGGGCACGCGTCGACCCCCGAGCCCTCTTCGCTTGGGTCTCGGTGGCTCCACGGTGGACGACGTGACGTTCCCGCACCAGGAATCCATTCGGAGGTGGATAGACCTCCTACCCTGACACGTCGATTAAGGAAGTGGCCGTTTTCGGTTCGCGGGAGGGCGTCGCGGCCGTCGTTTTTGCGGGTCCAGGTCCGTCGGTTTCGGTCCCGGGCCGTTTTCACTAGGGGGAGGTTTACTGAAGGGAGGTTCGTCCACCGCCGATCAATGGACGTCCTGGGGCTCCAGGGTCGGGTTTCTTGTGGGAGGTTTCGTGTAGTCGAGCTCCCACTGCATCGCCGATGCCGGGCCGAGGTCGCCCCCCTCGGCAAGTCCCCGCCGATCGGTGCCCCTCGGGGGGGGGGGGGGGGGGGGATTTTTCGGTTTGCGCGCAACTGGTTCAGCAATTCGCCTGGTCTAGGTGAGTGGCCGCCCCCCTCCGTCTCTTGTCCAAGGCGTACCTTTTCCTGTTTAAGCTCTTCGGCACCGCCTGTATTCCGTACCCGCCGGCCGCCTGAGGCCCCGCCCGCCTGCGCCCTGTCTCCCCAATTAGTGTTTCGCGCGCCCCGCCTAGCTCTTAACAGGAAGAGGCCCGCTCTCGACCCGCCGACCAAAAAGTGAGTGGCGGCGCTCGCAGCAAGTCGCTCGTCAGGGGGGAGGGGAGGCGGGCAGGGGAGCGGGGCACGAGCTCCGCCGAGCGAGCCTCGGGGGCCGAGGGCGCGCAGCACACGGACGGAGGCGCGTGGACCGTCGACGGGGCCCGTCTCCGTGCAGAATCGGCGCGTTCCGTCGCCAAACATCGGGCAGCGCCGGCCTGGCGTTCGCCAGTGGGGGGGGGGGGCCTGCTTCGGTCCGTGGGCCTGGCGCCCACGCGCCACACCACGGATCCTTAATCGATGAGTAGGCAAACAATACTTGGGGGGCGATTTGTTTTCCCGATGCTTGTGTTTTCTAAGTATGTCTTGAATATGCTGCATTTTTCTTTCAAAATCCGGATGTAGGAGGACCTGGCGCCCACGCGCCAGACCCACGGATGCCGGGTCGATGTTGGCGTTGAGTCGGGCGTGTCCCTCTACAGGAGGAGAATTCAAACATAGGCCAAAATGATATGGCGACGATTTGTTTTGCCATGTTTTGGGTTGTTTCTAATCAGGAGGGAAGAAAACACACAGACACAATGAATCGTCGATTGCAATGGAAATATGGGAAAATATGGGAAGTGGGGGGGAAACAGAAACCCAGAACATATTGGAAAATATGCGGAATAGTTTTATTTGTGTGCTTTTATGTGTGTGTCCTGGGGCCCCTTCATCTAAGTATTTCTGGATTGTTTCCCGTTCTTCTTCAAACATCCGCATGTAGGAGGACATGCCCGACCTAATGGTAGCGTGCACCCTATAGGATCAGGCTTCGATGAAGGAGGTTTTGATGAATGTTGTCCGCCCTGTCTGGGCAGCTGGAAGGCCTCCCGTCGCCCATGCGATGTCCGCCTCGGCATTCGGATCAGAACGCACCCCGGGATGTGTCCGAGGCTTAGTGGGCCCTGGAAACGACAGGGCCGTTTTTTCACCGGTTCCGTTTCGCCGTTTCTTTGCCGGTTCCGACGCCGTTTTTTTACCGGTTCCGTCGCCGTTTTTTGACCGGCTCCGGCTTCGATTCCAATCCTGGAGCCGTTTTTTTGCCGTTTCCGGTCGCCGTTTTTTTTGCCGTGTCCATTTGCAAGGGACTTTTTTTTGAAACGGTGAAAAAACGGCCCTGCCGTTTCTGGGCCGCCCCCGGGATGTGTCCGAGGATGGTCGAAGCTTGACCCCCAGATTCGGGCCCAGACAGACTTCCCCGCGTCGCCTACAGATCACCGCGAAAGGTGGTAGCTCGTTTTCATTCAATTCTGATCAGAACGCACCCCAGGATGTGTCCGAGGATGGTCGAAGCTTGACCCCCAGATTCGGGCCCAGACAGACTCCCTCGCGTCGCCTACAAAATTACCGCGGAAGGTGGTAGCTCGTTTTCAC